CTAGTAAGGCACTTGTTACTACTAGCGTGGCACTTGTTTCTACTAGCTTCTTGTTACTGTTCAATGTGTTTTGTTGTTTTCCATTGCAACATTTTCTTGTGGCATCAAGCAACTTATTTATCATTTGAATACACCTCCCGCTCCGCAAAATAAAGTGCGAATGCTTTTTGGATGGAAACCTGACAACCGTAGTCGTGTCCCCCAATACCTCAACGCAAGTGAAAAGTGAATTGAGAGGCAAATGAAAGGATTTTAGTCGAATCTTTGGACCTAGTGACTAGTGGACAAGTTTCTGTTTGTTTTTGTACGGCAGAAACGATTGTTTCATTAATTAAATTGCTAATGAATTGGAAAATATTTTTGTTGTACAGCAAGAACTTGAATCTATTGTAGAAGATGCAAGAAGCAAGGAAGAAAATAGCAACCATATAATATGGACAATAAATGAAGAAGACAGAAATCAAAGGACACCAAAGGCAAGGGGTGCATTTTGTCAGGATTCAGAAGTGTAAGATCATGTGCTTCCTAAGGGATGGCTTTTGGAAAAATGTCTCGGAGTTCTTTCGTGCCATTAAACTTTGATGGTTTGATCTAGAAGCTTTTGATGTCTTAGTCTCAATAATAGATGTTTTGTGCTGTTTAAAGCAATTACAAAGGGAAGGAAGCAGGAGGGAAATAGTAACTTCATGTAACTTCGAAAAATGTTGACAAGGCCTCGTGGAAGGTCAGAAAACTAGGTGAGGTTGTAGTGCCGTCAACTGTTGCACAGTTGCCGTCGTTAGGTCGTAATTTGTATTTGCGTGTTGCCAGTGCTTCATCCCTTGCCTGTGCTTCGATCATGGCAGCCCCCTGATGTTTGGTTCTGTTTCTGTTCTTGTATTACGTTATATTTTGGATCAAGAACGCTACTAGGGGCTCCTGGCATTGCTACTAGGAGCAAAGACGCTACTAGGTTGGAGGCCATCGCTAGTATTTCCTCCTTTGAAAGTCATCGACATCTCATCCCATCTTCGCTTTGGCGAACCAAACTTCCATGAAGGGCTCGGTCAGTCGCGTTGGCGAAGTTCGATGTCGAACATGTGCAATTGGATCGCGAAGTTGTCTCTTTTTCACGAATTTCTGCGCCATCGACCTGAAGTAAATTGAAACCAAGTAGGTTGGAGGCCATCGCTAAAGAGAAAAGGAAGAAAGGTTTTGGGATTTCCTTCGATTCCAGACGGAATCGAATGTGTGGGGTGCACTTTGTCATGTTTCCGGACTGTATCCTCCACACCGGCCGTGGCAAGTGGCAAGCTTTGCTCGCTATTTGCGCAGGCCATGGCTCGGGTCTCGCCTTTTGGACTCTTGGCCATGCAGACTTGGCAAAAGGCAAGTGTTGAAGTCAGCTATTAGGAACAAGGACGCTACTTAGGGCTCCTGGCATCGCTACGAACGGAGCTAAGGACGCTACTAGAAACAAAGGGCATCGCTACTAGTAGTAAGGCACTTGTTCCTAATAGCTTTTTGTTACTACTAGTAAGGCACCTGTTACTACTAGCGTGGCACTTGTTCCTAGTAGCTTTTCAGAATTGCTGAAGGCTTCGTGTGGTTCAGGCACGGGAGACTGATGAGAAGCAACAAAACGTCCATGGTCTGAAAGGTGCCTTGTGCGAGTGCTGTACGCAAATTCAGGTGGTTGTGCTGAGGGATTCCCATTTTCAGTTAATCCACTGGTAACAAGAAGCTACTAGGGGCTCCTGGCCTTACTACTAGGAGCAAGGACGCTGTAGCTACTAGTAACATGTTGTTTGCGGGTGCGATGGCCAGCCTAAGAGCGCTGGCCTCCACCCTAATGATCCATCATGTGCCTCCAAAGGTTTGAGGCCACAGGTAGCCACAGTCACACTTTAATTTGTTGCGTTTCTTTCCTCTCAGCACTACGTATAGGTGGTATAGAAGATTGCTGATTATATAACACAGTTAGCAACTGAGAAGCCCCAAGCACCAACGGTATAGTGAGAGCAGCACAGCCACAGAAGGGTATGGCAACAACGTCCTACCCAGCTGAGAATTATATAAACTCCTGCCTCATTGGCATCCGTACGGTTGGAGGCCATCGCTTCTAGGTTAAATTTGAATCCAATTAGAGTTCAATTATAGCATTTAGTATTGGCATACGTACGATTAGTATCCGCGCTGCATCGCTTTTGTTGCGCACGAGGTGTTTCTGCCTTGCAGCACCTTGGTAAGGTTCTTCGGGCACTTCGACATGAAGGACACTGAAGTGATTGAAATATTTGCTGTGTTTTAAGGTGATGCCTCCAACTTATTACCAATGGCCTCCAACCTAGAAGCGATGGCCTC